TGGCCATGACACAGGAAGTACTGCACACAGGAAGAAGGAAGGGGCGTACACTAGGGGGAAATACATCGTCACATGAGGAATAATTACAGAAAACATGTTTGTTACAACAAAAGGCCACTAGATGGCAGCATAGGATAACACATGGATTTAGCTATGAGAAAATAGTTAGGCAAATCACACTATATAAATTCTAACCTATATAACAATGCTAATATTAACTGAGGCTATGCATCTCATATTCTATGCCCCTATTGGGGCGGCACAAGGACAACAGAGCTGATTTGTAACAATTCTCCAATTCATCTCACTTTTCAGGTCAGCTCTGTTGTCCTAGATTGTTCCCTTCTCCGGCCTTCTCCAAACTCTTCTCCCTTTAGTGAATAGCTCTGTAAGTTCTGTTTCTTTAGTGCAGCGGTTCTTAATGTGTGGGTCGCGACCCCAAGTGGGGTCGCGCAAGTGAACAGGGGGGTCGCCGCGATCGAAATCCCGGCCACTAGTAGCGGTGAGCAGAGCCACCGTCAAGGGTGTCCCCCTGTCTGTGACTGACTGCACATTACTTTTTTAAAGATGGCCGCCGCGAGTAGCGGCGGCCATCTTTAAACCTGGCAAGTGCCCACATCTCATTTCATATATTGCCGAAGCGGCAATATATTAAATGAAAATCATTCCCTGGTGGTCCAGCGGGGAATCAGTATGACCTGCATTTCTTGCTGAAGCAGATCATACTTAACGATCCCTCGTGATCTCTTGCTGATGCAGATCATACTGATCGATCCCTCGTGGTGCCGCCGCTGATTGGCAGGGATCAATTAGTATGGTCTGCATCAGCCTGAGATGCAGATCACAGTCACACTGATCCTCCACTCGACCATTAGGATAATCCAAGTGCCACACTGGACCCCAGCAATGCAGCCCCCGTTCCTGCAAAACAGGTAAGCAGGAGAGGGGGACAATTTTTAATTAACAATTGTTTTTATTGTGTGTTTTTTTAATGTGTGTGTGTGATTTTTTTCCCCCCCATTAATGAAGCTACGTGTGTCTGTGTTTTTAATGTGTGTGTGTAATATGTATGTTTCATTACGTGTGTGTGTTTTGTTTTTTAACCACTTCCTGCGGGTTGACATAAATATACGTCCTCCGCTGGAAGTGGTTATACCAAAAAAACGGCTGCTCCTGCACACCACTTGCAGTGCGTTCCGGCCGGAACGCACTGCATCACATTGCGACCGACTCACTTTTTGGCCGGGCAGGAGGGGGTCTGGCGGGCCATTGAAGCGAATGGCGCCATAGCCACGCCCTCCGGCCACAATGCGATTGCTCGCACGGGATCGCAAGGCACATTGTGCCTGCAGTGCGTTTGGGTGCGGTGCTGCAAGCACTATTTTGATCGCACTGTACCCGACCACACTGCAGGCACAATGTGCCTTGCGATCCCATGCGGGCGATCGCATTGCAGCCAGAGGGGGTGTCTACGGCGCAATTTACTTCAATAGCCCACTGTGCCCCCTCCAGCCTGGCCAAAAAGTGAGCCGGCCGCAATGCGGGCAGTGCGTTCTGGCCAGAATCGGACCAGAACGCACTGCTTATGGTGTGAACTAACCCTAAGCCCTGCGTCCAGTAGACATGTGCGATTCGTTTCGGAAAAATTAGTTTTCCGGACGAAATTAGTTAGCAGTAGTCTGTACGCATTTTCGTTTGAGGACGAATTTTCATTGCAGCAAAGTGACAATTAAAAAAAAAAAATGTCACTTTGCTGCAATGAAACGAACGATACGAACATGAAACGGAAATGAACATTCGTACCGACTACTGCTAACGAATTTCCTCCGAATCCCGAAAAACGAAAAATCCGAATCAAAACAAGATGAAACTAAACGTTTTATTTTTTTTTGGGGTTGGGGTAAGCCTTTGCAGAGGACAGCATTGCTCTGAAGGCTGCGGCGTCTCAGGGTATTCTGGAGGAAAGCTGCAGCAGGTACTGATTGTTGTATTGTGCAGAGTGTCATTGTCTTGTAGTGTCATGCGTTTTCCAACCAAAAATTAATAAAATGCTTTAAAGTGTTATTAAACCTGCAGGTGTTGTTGCATATATGTAAGGCTGCCAAGCAGTAGATATATGCAAAAACTTTTTTTTTTTAAACCCTTTCAAACCAGTTTGAAAAAAAAGAAAAGGTATCAAAATCATGTTTCTTTTTTTTTGGGGGGGGGGACCCTTAATGGTTTCTTGAACCGGGGCCCTGGGGTTTCTAGTTACGCCTCTGGTCCTCTTCATGAGCGATGTACACAGGTGCACAATTTAGGTGCTGGTCACTACTACTCCTTGGACCCAGGAATGGAGATCTCATCCCACCTAGAGCTCTATGAAATTTCCTGGCTCCAGGATCCCAACTATGATCCAGAAAACACGGAAAGGACTGAAAGGCAGTTCTTTCGTGGTACAGGTAATTTCTTCCTGGAGCCCCTCTGGCTGAGAACCCTGGGTGACTTTGAGGCCACCTAACACCGTGGTATTGCCACGCAATGCCACACTACAGATGTGTTCTAATGGAAACCAGTTCCTGGTCTTCCTGCTGCCACTTGTCACCCAATTTGTACTCAGGTTCTTTTGAGGTGGTGATGTCTCCTATCCCAAATAATGCAATTAAACCTGCGTGTGTAGAGGGGTGGAAAATGTATTTTGCTGGCAAATTGCATCAGTTGAAGTCCACCATGAGTTCCTAAGTTGGCTGTGTTATTCTAGTTGGTCATAGTGCTGTGACACTATGAGCACACAATCTGTTATCAATAGTAGCCGGGTGTTAGTCCCCTTTAGTCTCCCCTCCATCTCCTTGCTGCCAGTCTTTGGTGGCTGCTGCTGCCCATCTGGTCAGTTATATATAGAAGGGAAGAGGAAGGAGTGAAGCATTTTCTCCCCAGAGCTTGTTCCCCAACCATCATAAGATCAAACTCACTCCACTGGCAATGGGAAGTCTGTGAA